CAGCACTTCAAAATGTTGTGAAGGGCAGTCTAGAAAGAAATAACAAGGACTACAATTCCATGAACTGCAACAAAGGGAATGTACCAGGCAAAGAACTGAACAGGGAGGGGGAAAGGAGAGCCAACAACAGGAAAATAACATGACAAGGACAAACCAATACATATCTATGTTCTCAATTGACCAACCAAAAGAAGCAGAATGGCAGAATGGATCAAGAAGACCCAACAATATGCTGCATACAAGAAACACATTTAATTCAAAAAGAAATTCACAGACTGAAAGGCAAAGGATAGAAAACAATACTCCATATGACAGGAACCCAAAAAAAAGCAGGAGTCGTTATTCTACTTGTAGACAAAGTGAATTTCAAGGACTAGGGATTTGGCTTAGTGGTACAAGCACTTTGCCTGGTAAGCACAAGGTCCTGAGTTCAATTTCCACTACATAAAAAAAACCCACACACACCCAAAGTGAATTTCAGGCAAAGATTGATTAAGAGAGATAATTCATATCCTTAAAAAGGAACAATCTGAGAGGAGATAACAATCATAAATATATATACAACAAATACTAGTGCACCCAATTATATAAAATAAACATTAATGGTATGACAAATCAAATAAGCACTCATACAACTGTAATAGGGGAGCTTCAATACCCCACTGTCACAAAAAGACAACTCAACTAGACAAAAAATCAACAATGAAATAGAAGTGAACCAAACTTTTAAACAGATTTAGTAGATGTTTACAGAGTTTTACCCCAAAATATCAGAATACACATTCTTCTCAGCTGTGTATGAGACAGTCTCCAAAACAGACCACATAACTAGCTCATATAATATGTTTAAGGAAATGGACAGGCATTTAAATTATCCCATATACATTATCAAGCCATAGTGTAACGACATGGCAAAGAAAACCATAAGAACTTCATACATACATGGAAATCAAATAATGCCCTCCTTTGGCCAGCCAGATAGCTTAGTGGACTAAAGCACCTGCTAAGGCAGGTGCAGGGACTGGGGTTCGATCCCCAGCAAGCATGGAGACAGTGACTGAGACTGGGTGTGGTGGCACGCACCTGTAATCCCAGTGCTTGGGAGGCTGAAAACAGGAGAATCACTACACATCTTATCTATGTAGTAAGAACCTGTACTAAATATCAAAAACAAAAACAAAAATAAATAAATAATGCCCTCCTGAACAACCAATGAGTCACAGATGAAATTAGACAATTTCTACAATTAAACAATGCCAATACAACATACTGGAACTAAAAGGGTACAAGGAAAGCCATTTTATGAGGGAAATTTACAGTGGTGAATTCTCATATCAGAAAAAGAGTTCAAATAAATGTTGAATTTCAAGCTTCTAGAAAAAGAACAATTCAAACCTAAAGATTGTAGGAGGCTGGAAATTATAAAAATCAGAGCAGGAATTAATACAACAGAGACTAAGAAATAGCTATGTCTTGGAAACAGTCCAAATGCCTATCAACTGATGAATGGATAAAGAACGTGTTTTGTTTTTTTTTAAATTGAAATAGAACATTACTCTGCCATCAAAAACAAACTTGAGGGCCGGCCAGATAGCTCAGTGGATTAAAGTGCTTGCTTAGGCAGACACAGGGACCGGGGTTTGATCTCTGGCGTACTGTGCCAGCTCTGCTCCTGGAGCCCATTGAGATGACAATTAAGATTGGGAGAGGTGGCATGCACCTGTAATCCCAGCATTTGAGAAGCTGAAAACAGGAGGATCACTAAGAGTCCAATCTGTAGTGAGACCCTGTAGACCCTGTACTACATACATAAAAAATAAAATAAACAAAAACAAACAAAACCTTGAGACATACCTTGAGACCATACTCATACATGAAACCAACTAGAGGGGTTTGACACACAAAGCTTCAAATACTACATTGTGTCTCTAGTATGAAAAAATCAAAAGTGAAATAAAGACCAAAATGTATAACAGATATTAGGAAATGGAAAGAAAATGTTCAAATGAGAAGGGGAACATGGACAGAGGGAGAAAGCAAGGAAGGGACTGAAAAAAGATAACAGAAGGGGGGAAAAAATGGAAACAAAGCTTTTGCAAATAAGGAGTGAAAGACGGATTAAAGGAAGGGGAGGGAAGGGGAGTGGGGAAAAAAAAAGAATCAAGATATTTTATGTACAGGAGAGCTAAGGAGATAGCTCAGTGGAATAAGTGCTTGCCTGGTAAGCACAAGGTCCTGAGTTCAATCCCTGATACCACAAAAAGAGAAAAAAAAAATAATGTACAAGTACAAACCTCCTATGATGTCCTAAAATTTTCTTTTGAAAAAATGAACTGTTGAAGTCCTTCAGTTCATTTATAAGTTCTTCAGAACAATACTGCTATTTTAACTGCCAATGATTTCTTTTTTGCCAATGATTTCTTAAATGTAAGTCAATAAGGCTCAATGACAACACCCATTCAAAGCCATTAAACCAGGGAAAATGTGAATTTAAAAAGTTATCTTGATGTACACTTCACTTAATAAAGTTGAACAAGTAATTTTTTTTTGTTGTGTTTCATATTTTGAGACAAGGTCTTACTATGTATTTCAAGTTGCTCTTGAACTTTCTATGTAGCCCAGGCTAGCCTCAGACTTGTGACTATCCCCCTGCCTCAGCTTCAGAAGTGCTGGGATTATAGGCAGGTGCCACCCAAATCTAGCTTTCAACAAATAATTATTTGCAGCCTATAATCTGTCATACACAATTAGTGCTATATATTTACCTGTTATCAGTAAAACTGGAGAGATCCAGGAGGCATTCTCCTTTTAAAATCTAGGAAGAAAAAGCATTGTAAGATATTATATAATTAAGTATATTTAAAAAAAAATTTTATTTTATACAAAAACATGAATTTCCCTTTTAGTTTCACAGTAATATAAAATGCACAAAAGAATTACTAAACATTTCTTTTAGCCCAGTAAAACCTAGTCAGAAAAAATAACAAACAAAAAACCTAGTTAGTATGTGAATATATTTTTAAAACTTTAAGTCAATGTACATGAATGTAATTCCCGGTATTCAGGGGATGGGAGAAGTAGGATACCCTATTTGAGGGCAACACTGATCTACGAGAAGGAAAAACTAGTAGTAACTAATTATATGTTTACAAAAGGTTAAAAAAAAGCATAAAAAAGCAAAACTAGATTATCATAAATGTCTGCTGTACTATATTTAGATTATTATATATGATAAAATGTTTCAAAGTGTCAGAGGTCAACATACATGGATGGAGAAGCTGAATGGGCATTTCCTATCATTTGGCTTGATGATGTTATTTATGCAGAAATTTCAACCCTATAGTACTATAGCTTCTGATCTGTAATGTTTTTACATATAGAATCTTAGAACAGCCCAACTAAAAACATGCAAGAACAGGAGGAGGATCACCCAAACTAGAATGACAGTGTAGATGATGGTTTTACTTTTGGAATGAAAGGAGAAGCCATAATACAGTGATTAGGGCAAAACAACAGCCAAGTACCAGGTAATCAAGATAAGCCAAAATGTACAGTAATGATACTGAGTGCCCTAATGTGCTACTTCTACACAGAGCCCATTAGACTTCATTTCTGGTTCCTTTAACAGTTTACATTTCTGGAGCTGTTTTACAAAGAGCCACAACATACACATATCTAAGGAAAGAAGACTCAAGTTTAAGGAAGAAGAAATCAGTTGGAGAAGCTTTATGCTAAAAGAAAAATCTTACAATATACACATATTGTGGAATTATAGTAATAACAACCTAACCCAAAACTCTTTTTTTTTTTTTAAGGTTTTTTGTTGTTGTTGTTCAGGGTCTTACTACACAGCTCGGACTTGTAGTGATCCTCCTGATTTCTGCCTCCTTAGTGCTGGGAATACAGGCATGTGCCACCACGCCCAGACTCCATCGCCAGCTCAGCATGCCCAGGGTCTGGACCAGTGCAGCATGCAGTGCCAGGGATTGAACCCTGCCCAAAACTCTTTTTCTATTTTTGTTCTAGTTTTGGGAATCAAACTTAGGGTCTCTGCACTAAGCTACATTCCCATCCCTTTTTGTATTATTTTAGGCAGGGTATTACTAAGTTGCCAAGCTTCCTAAACTAAGCTTGAATTTGGAATCCTCCAGCCTCAGCTTTCCAGAGATTGAGAGTATAGGCATATACCACCATACCCAGATCCTAATCCTCTCCTTTTACCAAAGAGAAATCTAAGACTTAGTTGAGTTCTATGGCTCAATGTTGGAAAAAAAGAAGAAATCAAGTGCTGGGCTCAGTGGTATAGTACTTGACTAGCATGCACTAGACCAGTGGTGGCGAATCTGTCCAGTGGGGCAGAGACCTCTTTGTGTACATCTGAGTCAGTTCACCCCAGAAGCTGAGCACTGGACAGCAATTGTTTTTCCTAACTAAAACCTTACAGCATTGGCATTCTGACAAATAAGTGAGTTTTGAATTGCAGTTTGTGCATTTGGGTCTCTAAAGGATTTGCCATCAGTGTACTATACTCTGGCTTCAAATGTTGACACTACAATGAAAAGACAGAAAAAAAGCAAGACCCACCAAAACAGCTCATTTAAAAAATGTAAAAACAGGGGGTGGGGAGATAGCTCAGTGGCATAAGTGCCTGCCTTGCAAGCATAAAGTCCTGAGTTCAATCCCAGATATCCCCCCCAAAATAAAATAAAATTTAAAAAAATAACTGAATTAGCCAGATTTGATAGTGTACATCTATAATCCTAGCACTTGGGAGGATGAGGCAGGACGATATTTGCGAGTTCAAGGCCAGCCTGAGCTACAAAGTCAGTTCAAGGACAGACTAAATTGTATAGTAAGATCCTGTCACAAAAATAAATAAATGAGTTAATGAGAAAAAAATCCATAAGTAAATGTAGGTAATGAAATGCAGGTATTAATGAAATGTAGGTATTATTTCATGTAGGTAAAAAATAAATATAGGTAATCTGTAAGTGACTATAAAAGTATAATGGATTTTCTCTTCTATTTTTTTTAATTAATTATTTATTTATTTATTTATACGTGTGTGTGTGTGTGTGTGTGGGGCCAGCTCGGCCCGCCCCCTGGCATGTGGTGCTGGGGGATTGAACCGTGGTCCCTGTGCTTTGCTAAGCTTGTTCTAAGTATGTGCTTTAGACCACTGAGCCATCTCACCAGCCCCTTCTCTTCTATTTTTATGGAATTAAAGTGGTAGTTGATCTTAATTAATAGAGTGATTTGTTCTAATGGTGTTTGTAGATAGGATATCATGTCTGATTCTTGTACAGCAATTAACCACTGGGAGGAATGTATGCAATGTGTTAATTATTGAAACTGTCCTACCAATTTGATTTGAAACTGTCTCATTGCTACTTGTTTATCAATAAAATTATGGAAAAAAAAGTGGTAGCTGCTACATATTATACTACTTTTCATAATCAGCATTTACAAGCTCAAATTGTGGCTGCAAATTAGTTTACTTAGACTTCTTTTTTTCATAATTATGTATAAGGCTGACTCTGAGTTTGTTCTCTAGGATTCATCAAAACCTTCTAGAATTGTACAACACTGTGTGTACTTTACAGTGAATATAACTAGTCACAATCTTAAACAGCTTAGTTTCTTTCTTTCTTCTTCTTCTTTTTTTTTTTTTTCTTTTTTTGGTGTTACCAGGATTCAAACTCAGGTCCTACACTTGCCAGGTAGGCATTTATGCCACTGAGCTACATCCCTGACCCAAGGCTCTGTTTCTTATAGCACACAAGATCAGAAGACACAACTCTGCATCTGCACGGAGCCTGAGGCCCACAATGTTGAGAACATCTTATTCTTTGAGACGGCTACTAATTCCTTAAGTATATCAGTCACTTAATTATAAGTACAGTACCTTCCTATCAAAAAGTTTTGCAATATATGGCTTAAAGTAGTGCTCCTTTATTCCTTTTGCTTCTACTAGAAGTCCATCATGCAGTTCACACAGTATAGCAATAATGCAGGGAGGCTCTTCAGAAGCCCTAAAGTCAGCAGTATGGAAATCAGATGGTAAACCTAGATTGATAGGATATAAAGAAGAATACCAATAGAGAAAGCAGTCAATATTGGAAAATATTTTTCCAAAAATTAATAATTAGTTTTAAAAAATAAATAAACGTCTGACCTTTAAATGATGGGTTTAGCAAGTCTCGTCTATTTGGGCACATAATGGCATTGGCAAAAACCAGATCCAAGCAGCACAGAAGTAAATGATAAGAGTTTACTAAATCATCCCCAATCATACGAAAATTACCTTTATTAAAAAAAAGACAAAAAGCAGAAATGTCTCATGTCAAATAGCATCATGTAAACATAACAGAGGTGTAAAACAACTGGAAGTGTCACCTTACCCTTTGTGTAAACAAAGAGTGTCCAACAGAAATTAAAGAGATCCTTAACACTGCAAGGAATCCTCCTAAAAAGAGGGAAAAAAATGTGTATGTGTTCTTTTTTTTTTCTTTTTTTGTAGGTTGGTAAGTACTATTTAGATTGGAACAACAACAACAAAATATTGAAACAGCAAATACAAAGAATAATGTCAAACTACACATCAAATTCTATTCACAAAGGAGAGATAATCTATGGCTTTTGAAAGGGATATACATAAGCCTTTTCAATCTTCAATAAAGGATCAGAATATACAAATAAATGAAAGTACTACCCTGAATTTCCAGATATGGGTAACTGTACATGATTTTTTAAAAAATTTAAGTCTTAAAAAAATAAGTAAAATATAATTTAAGTCTTTACAAATAGATACATCTGCTAAAATGTCCACTTTTGAAAGAGAACTCTCCTAATAAGTTTATATGATAAGCTTCATGTCAATATATAAGAATTAAGGGTCTCACCTTTGTTTCCTGCTTCGTGGTAGCTTTGGTAGATCTTCATATGGATTTTGAAATATATCTAAAAAAATTGGTTCAAATTTCTTAAAAATTACAGTAGACACTTCAAAATTTCTCTCTAGCCTTTCTATACGTTCACGAAATTCTTGCGGCAAATTTAACATGTCCATCCACTTCTTCATTTTACTAAAAAACTCTATTAAACTTTAAAAAAAGAGGGAAAAAGTTAACTTTAAAATTAGTCCATAGAATGAGTTGAAAGGGACACATTCTATTCATAAATAGGAATCACTACCTTAAAACTTAAATGCATTAAACAAGACACAACAACCTCGATCCCATGATTACTATAAACGTACAGATTGAGTCAGTGGTCATAATATCTACTATGCAAAAAATGAAATCACTTCCCTACACTTTTTTTAGTACTGGAATTGAAACATCACTTAATTGACCATTAGTTCATTTTCCTGGCCTGATTAGAGGGGAAATTTTTTTTTTTTTTTTTTTTTTTTGTGGATTTTTTTTTTTTTTTTTTTTTTTTTTTTTTGTGGAACTGGGGATTGAACTCAGGCCCTCACGCTTGCCAGGGAAGCGCTTATTCCACTGAGCCATCCCCCCGGCCCTACAGGGGACATTTGAATGTTAGTGTGGTATTATGACTGAAAATTTGTTAAACTCAAATGTCTTAAACTAGTATATACAAATATCTGTAATTCCTACAGGCTGTAAGTAGTGGGCCAACAAGAAATTAAAAGTAGGATGAAGCTTGGCATCTTTGCCTCCAGTTTTAACTCTTAATTAATTATCTTAATTAAATTTTTTTGGTCCTACATGCCATGCCAGCCCTGAAACCAGGAGTGGTGGCACAGCCTGTAATCCCAGAGCTGGGGAGGCTGAGACAGGAGGATCACTATGAGTCTGAACTGTATAGCGAGAACATGCATCAAATCAATTAACTAACAAAAAATAAAATGCTACTCCAAAGTGAAATGTGTTAGTAGTATTTGCCCTTCTAGTGGCAATTTAGAAATATGAGTTAAGTTTTAAAAATGCTGATATTCATCCAGGTATTTTTTTCTGATCTTAGGGAGCAAAAAACAAAACAAGGGCCGGGGAGATAGCTTGGTGGCCTAAGTGCCTGCTTGGCAAGTGCAAGCACTTGGGTTCAGTCCCTGGTACCGCATGCTGTGCCGGCACTGGAACCTCAGGTACGCTGTGCCAGCCACCAAAACTGGGCATGGTGGCACACACCTATAATCCCAGCACTGGGGAGGCTGACACAGGAGGATCTTTACAAGTATGAGCTACATAGTGAGACCCTGTACCAAATAGATAGATACGTAGGTAGGTAGGTAGGTAGATAGATAGATAGATAGATAGATAAAAAAAACCCAAAAACAACCCAGGGCCTTTGCACTGATCTGCATCCTCATCCCCTCTAAAACACTTTTTAATTAACTAAGTTTATTGGTACATTTTAACCAGACATAATGATGGCCTTCATCATAGAGCATTTGTATCAGTATATGATGTATGTTGCTTCTTTTTTCCCATTCCCTCCCTGCCACTCAACCCCCACTTAAAGTAATTTCATGCATGCTAGACAAGAAAGTCTTGTTTTTTATTAGTAGGTAAGTATATACTCGGAAATATCACTTTAGTAGATTGTTTTTTTCACTTCAGTAGATTATTCCATGTTCTTGGTTTAATGAATTATGGGTACATTTTCTATTTTAGGTAGTCCATAATTCATTTAAGTGTCTAGCAGTACATACAGAATGATACTTGTAACTTTTTAAATGGCCATGGAAGATACCATCAGCCCACTGTTCATAGGTATTCAAATTATTGGAAGATGAAAAAATTTTATTTATGGGTGTTTTTGGTTATACAACAACATGAATGTTCATCATGCCACTGAACTGTATAAAAACTGGGAAACATCTCATTGTAAAAAACCTGGTTAATGATTAATTTTGTTTCATAAATTTTATTCCCCCTCATGAAGTATAAGGTAGGAATAGTAAATATGTGGCATATGTTCCAGTAGTGGGACATTACTAAACTTTGACACATGCAAAAGATTAAAAAAAAGAACATTCTAACAAATTACTACCACCAATGTCCTAAAATGTATAAAAAAGTTTTTGATGAATTAAACTCTCATTCAGGTTTTATTATAATCTGAAAATAACTATTAAATGAATAAAAGTCATCTTAATTTGCATCAAAGTTACTAAAAAGCATGAAAAACAGAAACATTCTTATCTCAAACAATGAGATGAAACTGTTATCCTCCTTAGAATGTAATTTCTTTTTTTTTTTAATTTTATTTATTTATTTATTTGAGAGAGA